AAGTACCGTCATCCGTAAAAAAAGTACCGTCATTGTTCAATACCGCCGAAAAAGTACCGCCAAAAAACGAAATACCGTCAACCGCGAAAAAACGTACCGTCATTTTTCAATACCGTCGAAAAAGTACCGGCAAATTCGGCGGTACCGTGGACCGCCAAAAGTGGTACCGTCAAAAAACGAAGTACCGTCAACCGTCAAAAAAGTACCGTCATTTTGCATTACTGTCCCGTTTGGTACCGTCAAAAAAACTGGTACCGAGGACTACCCTGGAAATAACCCTTTTGCTATCCTCCGCTCTTTGCATCAGTGGCTTCCTAGGTTCGGGCGAGGGCATGTGTGGAGCTATGGCAATGCGTGTGTTGCTATTTTGTTTGAGTCATTTGGCTGCTGACACGATGACTGTTGGATCTTGGGAGTGTACGACTATCAAATTGGGAGTTGCAGCATACCACGATATTCTGGCTTCGGCTGGGCATGAAATAACCCTTTTGCCGTCCTCCGCTCTTTGCATCAGTGGCTTCCTAGGTTCGGGCGAGGGCATGTGTGGAGCTATGGCAATGCGTGTGTTGCTATTTTGTTTGAGTCATTTGGCTGCTGACACGATGACTGTTGGATCTTGGGAGTGTACGACTATCAAATTGGGAGTTGCAGCATACCACGATATTCTGGCTTCGGCTGGGCATGAAATAACCCTTTTGCCGTCCTCCGCTCTTTGCAATCAGTGGCTTCCTAGGTTCGGGATAGGGCATGTGTGGAGCTATGACAGTGTATGTATTGCTACGTTGTTTGAGTCATTTAGCTGCTGACACGATGACTGTTGGATCTTGGGAGTGTACGATTATCAAATTGGGAGATGCAGCATACCACGATATCCTGGCTTCGGCTGGGCTTGAAATAACCCTTTTGCTGTCCTCCGCTCTTTGCATCAGTGGCTTCCTAGGTTTGGGCGAGGGCATGTGTGGAGCTATGGCAGTTTATGTGTTGCTGCTTGGTTTGAGTCACCTAGCTGCCGACACTTGGGAGTGCACGATTATCAAATTTGGAGATGAGATGTGTGTCTACGTGAAAGCACATGTAGAGAGAGTCGTTTTGGAATTCGCATCTAGCGCATTGCGCATTTTTTGAATTTTCGCCTCCTTCCAGGGAACTTGATTTTTACCCGCTGGCACTGACGTCTTTTATTGGTCAGCCGGTTAGCGCGGTCGATGCTAATAATAATAAAAAAACACACCCACACACACACACCACGACACCAGAGGACAGACGCCACAGTGACGGAGTGTACACCTGCTGTTGCAGACCCTAAGAACTCTAAGCAGAGGCANCCCCCCAATAGTGCCGGTTCCCTACTGCTGTAGACACACACACACACACACCACGACACCAGCGGACAGGCTCCACAGTGACGGAGTGTACACCTGCTGTTGCAGACCCTAAGAGCTCTAAGCAGAGGCGCACCATCCCTTTGTGCGGAAGGTGAACTACTGTGCCTTCAACAGGACAGAACGCCGCAAGACCCTCATGGCCACATCTGCCAGGGAGGATGTGGAGGGCGGCTCCACGGCAATTGCGGCAGCGTGTTTGACGACATCGAGACGCACCGCATATGCAGCACGTGCGTTACCACGATTGGCAAGCGCAAAGCGGCAGCAGCTGACGGTGCTGGGGCGGGACCANACTGTGCCTTCAACAGGACAGAACGCCGCAAGACCCTCATGGCCACGTCTGCCAGGGAGGATGTGGAGGGCGGCTCCACGGCAATTGCGGCAGCGTGTTTGACGACATCGAGACGCACCGTATATGCAGCACGTGCGTTACCACGATTGGCAAGCGCAAAGCGGCAGCAGCTGACGGTGCTGGGGCGGGACCATCTAAACGCCAGAAGGACAAGAGCGGTGGGAGCAAGAAAGGAGGTGTTCGTGCGCGCCGNCAGCAGCTGACGGTGCTGGGGCGGGACCATCTAAACGCCAGAAGGACAAGAGCGGTGGGAGCAAGAAGGGGGGTGTTCGTGCGCGCCCGGACAACAACACGAAGCTTGAGATTCTCAAGCTGCTGGATGCGAAGGTCTCTCAAGTACAGATTGCAGACCGCTTCGGGTGCTCGGAGCGGTTTGTTAGGACTGTGAAGGCTGACCGGAAGAAGGTGGAGGCTGCGACTGCTGCAGGCGGCGGCACCCAGAAAACCGCGCGCAAGGGAGACTTTCCGGAGGTGAGCTTTCTTTTCCCCGCCTTTTTTTTCAAAATTGTTGCGGGCCGCTGTTCACTGACCTTTTTGTTCGTCCATGTTTTTTTTTCTTTTCGTCGTTCTTCATTTTTTTTTTCACTGGTACAATAGATGTTGTCTCTCTTGTTTTTTCTGTCCATTGTTTGTCTGTCTCGGTTTTCTCAC